TTCTATTCTACAGCTACAAAAAAAGCCCCTTCAGCTCAACACACCCCAAATCTCCCCTCTGAGCTCCTGAATTGTAAGGTTTTGGGCTACGTCCAACCAAGTTGCGTCGGCCCAAGAGAAAAAAACAAAAACCTCCACTCAAAGCCGGCCTTGGAGCGATGCAACGGGGTGCAGAAACCAGCATTTTGGGAGGGGAACAGCCGTCCCTTGTGCGCTCTCCAACCCGTTGCAACAGCTTTGCCATCTTTTCTGCTTGGATATTTTGCATGTGGGGAGGCCTAATCTAAACCACCTGGCCAAGGGTGTCGGGCTTGAGCAGGCTCGCTCCTTGTGAGAAACGGAAGAGAAGGAATGCAAGGGAGGAAAAGACGATCCCGGAGAACTCCAGCTCCTTTGGCAGAGGGCCCTGCCAAGATGTTCGTTGCTTGGATTTTCCCAATCATGTCAGCTAGGTTTTCAAAAAGCAACCCACCACAGCTGAAGGATTATTTTATTTCTTCTCCCCACCCCCCCACCCACCCCAAAAAGCTACAATCCTATCCTGGGAAACCTCCTGTTTGTACTGGCGTCTTTTTCCACCGCCCCTCAAATAATGCAAATTTTGAATGCAAAGACCTGTGGCTTGGTTTAAATTAATTTGGGGGCACTGTTTTATGTTTAGGTTAGATTGACAAGAGTTGGAAGGGACTTCGTAGGTATTTCTAGTCCAATTCCCCACCCAAGCAGGAGACCTTGCACCCTTTCTGACAGATGGCAGTCCAGTCTCTTCTTGAAAGCTTCTAATGATGACGCTCCCACAACTTCCGAAGGCAAGTTGCTCCACTGAATACAGAATAACAGAATTGGAAGGGACCTTGTAGGTCATCTAGTCCAACCCCCCCCCCAAGCAGGAGACCCTACACCATTTCTGACAAATGGCAGCCCAGTCTCTTCATGAAAGCCTCCAGGGATGAAGCTCCCACAACTTCCGAAGGCAACTTCTGTTCCATGGGTTGATAGTTCTAGTTGTCAGAAAATTTCTCCTTATTTCCAGGTTGAATCTCTCTCCTTGTTCACTTTCCATCCATTATTCCTTGTCTGGCCTTCGGGAGCTTTGGAAAATAGCTTGACCCTCTCATCCTCTCTGTGGCAGCCCCTCAAATATTGGAAGGCTGCTCCCCTGCCTCCCCTGGTCCTTCTCTTCCCTAGACTAGCCAAGTCCAGTTCCTGCAACTGTTCGTCGTATGTTTTAGCCTCCAGTCCCCTCATCCTCCTGGCTGCTCTTCTCTATACTCTTTCTAGAGTCTCAACCTCTTTTTTATAGTGTGGTGACCAAAACTGGATGCAGTACTCTAGGTGTGGTCTTACTAAGCCTTTGTAGAGTGGTATTAGTACCTCACTTGATCTTGATTGTATCCCTCTGTTAATGCAATTTAGGATTGCATTGGCTTTTTTTGGCTGCCGCTGCACATGGCTGGCTCATATTTAACTGGTTGTCCACTAAGAGCCCAAGATCTCTCTCCCAGTCTCTAAGGTGGCATGATTCTGTCATTTAGTTTGGGGGGGGAGTGACCACGGGAACCCCAATGGGCTGAAAAACAGCTGAAAAGGCCATTCAGAGCTACAAAAGTGACTCGTGAACGGTCCTCGCACTTACGACCGCCCTGGTTGCAGTGTCCCGGATCAGGGGATCGATGTTTGCAACCTCCCTAGCTTTGCTTTCCGACAAGCAAAGTCAAGGGAGGAAGCTGGGTTCGCTTAACGACCATGGCACAAAAGGTCGTAAATCAGGCACACTTAACATTGCTTAGCAGTGGAGATTCTGCTCCCAACTGTGGCCGTAAGTCAAGGACTTATCCACCATGATTTATTTCCTGAACCATTTCCCTCTGCAATCCCTATCCTCCATCAACAACACAAGTGTCTAATTTCTCTTCTGTTTCCATTGCTCCAGTCTTAAATACCCCACAAAATGAAAATTTAAAACTGCATGGTCCATCCGTTCCCCAAGGCAGTTATTTTAAGGTCATTCATGGTTAACGATTTCTCCAACAGTCTTGACTTCCAGATCACCCCCAACAGATTCATTTGGATTTCATCTCCTTTCTAAAGCTCTCGTTTTGGGTTGTTTTAAAGCATCTCAAGGAAGATCAAATCAGTATCTAGAATAGAATAACAAGAGTTGAAAGAGGGACCTTGGAGGTCTTCTAGTCCAACCCCCTGCTTAGGCAGGAAACCCTACACCACTTCAGTCCAGTCTCTTCTTAAAAACTTCCAGCGTTGGAGCATTTACAACTTCTGGAGGCATCTCTCCTGTTTTTCTATTTCTAACACCGATGCGAATGTTTGCAACCTTCCAAATGCTCACAATCCCAGTCTTTAAAAGCAGGAAATATAATAATAGCAAGGAGATGCAAACTATTTTTCCCCCTTCCGGTTCTTTGGTTACTTAACGGCTGGCAACGTGAAGTTGTTTCTTCTTCTGGTTTCCATGCATCCACTTCCGGTTCTCCTCTGAAAATCCTTCCCAGACATTTTAGAGAAGCGAACTCTTGAAATTAGGAATTTGAAACACTTCTTTTCACAGAACGTTTTTTTTGGGGGGGAGGGGGGAATAGACATTTGGTCCAAGACAACAGTTGGTTCCCCCCCCCCCCAAAAAAGCTAAGTTTCTCACGCATAATTCTTGCATTAAATTCCTCCATCTTATATGTTAATCCCATCATGGTGACCTTGAGGCTTTCCAATAATATTCTCCAGATGAAATTAACACTTAGTTTGCTCAATTGGCCAATGAGTGGTGCAGCGGCCTAGAGGCAGTGCTGTCACCTCACAATCAGGAGGCTGTGAGTTCAATCCCAGGTAGAGGCAGATATTTCTCTCACGATGAGAATATATCTGCCGAACAAAACTCTGCATTGGAGACCGGAAGGGCATCCGGCCAGTAAACCCTCAGCTCCATTCAATTGCGCAGGCTCCACCCTGCAAGGGATTATGGGACCGTTAAATGATGATGATTGCTCAATTGGCCAAGGAGATTCTTGGATAATGCTTTTTTTTTTTTCCCCCAAGGAAACAAACCTCCTAAAAGCCACGGGAAAATCTTCCAAAAAGTCTCATACTTAGAGAGATTTAAATAGTAAATGACTAAAGACAGCTTTCTGGATTAAACAGTGTGGCATTTAAGTGCTACATCTTCAGAGGAGGCTCTCGCGCCAAACTGGTTCTTGAAGCGTGAAAGACGCTCGCGTGGCCCACAATCGAGTCGACAAGGAAGAAATTGTAACCCTGCAGACGTCTCTGAGGTGCCTTCAGCCAGGGGACGTGTCTCCAAGAGGTGGACCTATGCCGTACATGGCCTAGCCTGACAAGTTCTCTGGAGGTGTCAGGTAGGCATTGTTGCCCTCGCACAAGGCGAGTTGGACACTGGAGGCGAACCACCGCTTGGCACAGCCCAGTCGGCAGTTGAGTGTGGTCCGGTAAATGTTTTTGGCGCGTTTGGGGAAAATGATGGTTGTGCTTTGATACCGGAGGGGCTTCTGACGCGGCTCGAAAAGGAGCTGAGACTTGTAGTTCCGCCAAGTGCAGTTGGGGGCCACCGTGACGGACTCTCGGTAGGTGGTGACGGTGGGCCTGGGGTGGTAGAAGATGTCATCCCGGAAGTGCTTCTCTGAGCTGTACTTGATCTCCGAATTGCACCTGGGGAG